TGATGGCGATTCTTTTGTTTTATTTGGCAAAATGTTAATTTGATTTGTGTCTCTCTGACTGTGTTGATTATTACTCGCCCACTAAATGAAAAAAAAGTCTGAATTTATTATTATCTAGAGACTATGAATAACAGAAAGTGAAATGCAGCTTCAGACGAGCCGAACATGTGGTGACGTCACAAGTAATGCTTCTGTTCCAATTGACCATATACCTCCTTAACGACCGACCCTTAACAATCATAGACAGGTTTCAGGTATTACAGGAGACAACCCCCCTCTTAATCCCCCCCCTTTAATGACCGACCGTCAGAATCATAGACAGGTTTCAGATATTACAGGCTAACAATGGAATCAAACGACCCAGTCATCGGTTACCATTTGCATGCTTCCAAAAAATACAAGGCTTTGTCTATACAAGACTCAAACTCATTGCGGATCTAGACATTTGTATTGAGAAAGCTTCCTGGAGAGGTGGCGAAACATCTTCAAATCTTGGAAACCAAGTGCAGTGGATATTTTTTTAACTTTTACGAAATAAATACGAGGCTAATGATTTAAAAATTTTTAAACGATGAGGCCTTAATCGGAAAACCAAATTCTACAACAAACAGCTATGATATAAAAACATGACTGTAGATCAATCCCTTTTTAATGTTTCTTCACAAATCTCAAGATGCCTATCCATCCATCTTGGTCCGCATATCCGGGGTCAGGTTGTGGGGGTAGTAGCTTCAGTAGGGAGGCCCAGACGTCCCTCTCCCCAGCCACTTGGGCCAGCAGGCCTCCAGGTGAATCCCAAGGCGCTCCAAGGCCAGCCAAGAAACATACTCACTCCAGCATTTCTTAGGTCTCCCCCTGGGCCTCCTCCCGGTGGGACGTGCCTAAGACTACTCACCAGGAAGACGTCTAGGAGGAATCCTAGTCAGATGCCCAAGCTTCCTCAAATGGCAACTCTCAATGTGGAGGAGCAGCAGCTCTACTCCAAGTCCTCCTTGGATGTCTTAGATACTCACCCTATCTCTAAGGGGGAGCCAAGACACACTGCGGGAAAACTCATTACAGCCGCTTGTATCCGGGATCTACCATCCTGACCATGGTCTTGAATTTGGAGGAACGGATCCTCATCCCGGCCACTTTTCATTCAGCTGTGAACCGCTCCAATGAGAACTGTAGATCACACCCTCATGAAGCCAAAACCGACAACAACTACGCTACTCCTTTCTGAATCAGAGATTTGACTGTCGGACTCACTCTCCTTTCCAGAACCCTGGAATAGACCATACCAGGGAGGCTTAGGAATTTGATTCCTCTGTAGTTGGAACACACCCTCCATTCCACTTTTTTATATAGAGGGACCACCATCCCAGTCTGCCAATTATTGGGAACTGCCCCTGATGTTCATGCAATGTTGCAGAGCCGTGTTAACCAACACAGCCCCACAACATCCAGAGCCTTAAGGTCACCCACCCCTGGGGCCTTGCCACAAGGAGCTTTTTGACCACCTCAGTGACTTCAGCATCAGAGATGGGAGAACCCGAGCAGGAGCCCCTAGGCTCTGCTTCCTCAATGGAAGACGTGTTGGTGGGATTAAGAAAGTTTTTGGAGTTCTCCGCCCACCAACATACGATGTTCAGAGTCGTGGTCAGCAGTACACCAACCCCAATATAAACAGTGTTGGTACTGCACTGCTTCCCCGTCCTTAGACATCGGATTGTGGACCAGAAATGGCTTCAAAGCCGTATTGAAAAAAACTCATGATGTTCTTTTTAAAATATGACATGCCATACATTGTACAAAAACAGATCTCATGGCACAAGCTGCCAACTGCACTGACCAGAAGTAGTCAATCAGCTGTAACCCACATTATGTTGCAGTTTAAAAGCATCCAAGTCTATGACTATAAATTAAGATATTTAAATAAAGATTGATAGGCTTTTACAGACTCCTGTTACAGAGGCCATTTTTAGTATATGAAGGCCATGACTTGGATAGGTTTACCTTTTTATTATATTTAGAAAATACTTGTTTTTTTTATTTGAACACATTTGAGTTCACCAGTTAAATGTCAGACATTGAAATGACTTCCATTGGAGCTTTTAATGTTACCTCTCCGATCCAGACTGATCCTTTAGTTCTGTGTAGTAATTTGTGTGATGATGCGGCTCTTGCTGCTGCTGGATGAGTCCTCAGTCTTGAGCTGTGATATAGGAGCCAGATTCAGCACTTCATCCCCAGCACATGAAAAACCAAGGTGTAGTGGGGCTGAAAGTCATTGCAATTTACTTTAACAGCAGCACCTTGATATTCAGTGGGCATTGGTAATTGAGCAAAATCATTTCCCATTGTTCCTCGATGTTCCAAAGAGAATGCATGCCAGAGGTAGTGATACGCTACCTGAGCTAGCTGCTGTTATTGCAAAGCAGCCAGCTTCACAAGAAGAGTCGGAAGGTCATAATACATTTCACTTTTTCCAATGTGGGGTGTTATTACTCACAGGAGGTTGTCCTTTAATCTGGGATGTATGTACATACCAGAGGGGCAGTTTGAGGAGCACGCACCCAGAGAGGAAAATCCAGTATTTTATAGCAGCATGCCCGTGTGGCATCTGTGGCAGCTCAGGAAAACTCTGGTGCTTGATGTACCTCCTCAGTTGAGCTATGTTCATCTACTTCTTTAGCCTGTTCTGGTACTCTGCCAGTGAACTTTTTACAGTGGGAAGCATGGACCCTGCTGATTCTCTCAGTGGCCTTTACTGCTGTGCGGGTGGTCAGGAACACCTGGAATGGACCCATCCACTTCCATCTCCAAATCTTCCTCCTAATTTCTAGTAAAGACAAAATGTCCTGGCTGTAAATCATGGAATGGGTTAGTAACTTGCGCAGGCAGTCTTCTCTGTGTCTGGTCTTCCACTTCCTTTAGCTGGGCTGTAAGATGTATTAAGTAATTAAGCATTTTATCATAACATGCGAGTGTAGATGTGGTATGAGTCTCTGGCAGTCCTGCAAAGAGAATTTTAAAAAGACTGAGGTTAGATTTTTTACGGCGCATGCGCATAAAAACAATGGGAAATGTCTACACCCAATTCAGATCTGTTTCTTCACATATCTTATTTCTCTGTCAACAGCTCCCCCACTCTGTGAATGATAGACACTATGCTTCATTAGGTTAACATGAGGAAATTTAGCATGTGTTGTAATATTCACTTGCAAAATGGTAGGCTTCAGTCCATCTTTAAAACATATCTACATCACCAAGCACCATTTCTTTCCTTCACATGGAGTTAGTTCAATAAAATCTATAATAAGATGTTAGTACCTGCAAAAAAAAGCTGAAATCTAAAACTGTAAATAGAGAGTCATATGTTTATATTACTTTTTTAATGTATTTTTTTACTCTTTTCAAGGCTGCACTTTAAAAGATGAAATTGTGTAGAGAGCTTTTCTTAACAAAATTTCTTTTACACTTGGTTTACACTTGTGTATACCAAATTACAGAATAAATCCGTCTAAGTCTAAGAATGGAGCATCAACTGTTTTTGTGGGCTCCCAGGCCTATCATTTTCTGTCCTCAAGAAATGTTTTGACTTGCACAAATCAAACAATCTTCACAAAACTTTGTTGCTGTTTGAGAAAAAAAAAATAACAGTGAACCAATCTTTACCCAATTTCTAGTCCTCCCTCTATGAGGCATGGTCCCCCATGGGTCAAAACACAAAAGGAATGGAAAAATTGTTTAGGTAACCATTTAAGCCCCACCAGACGCTATTTGAAAAAAGAGTAGAGTCTACTATTCATGGTTAAACAGACAACGTGGACCACCAGAGTGAGAGTTGCGAAAGGGAGTTTGGGCAGCGGAACCAGATAAACCATTTTAAAGAACCTGTCAATGATGGTGAATATACCAGTGTTACCTTTAGAACAAGATAACCCGGCAAATGTCAATAGCTATGTTATACCATATTTGAGGCGGATAGGTTGAGGTTGAGAAAAAACCAGATGGAGTTCTTTCAGACATCTTGGACTGATTGCAAAAAGGGACAAGCTGCCACATACTCCCATACATCTGAAGACAGAGGATGCCACCAAATCTGAGCCCTAACACTTTTGATGACAAAACAAACGGGAACTGTGACAAAACTCTAAGACCCACTTTCTTTAAGCATCAGGGAAAGACAGACAGTCATTAGGGTAATCTGTTGGGGAATGCTGATTTTGGAGAATCTGTCTGACTTCTTTCTCAAGGTTGACCATAGTGATGGAAAATCTTACAGACTCTGGTTAGACAAATTCCTCTGTACCACCGGAACTCTCCTTGCCTCAGAGACCCTGGACAGAGCATTGGGTTTAACATTTTTGAAACAGAGATTATACATCCATCTCCATTTTCTTTTTTGAGGCCCAAGCTTTTACTGGAAGGAATCTGGAGGAATTCTGATGAAGTTACCACTGGAACTTAAAGTATATCACAAGACAGTGAGTTGAAAATCCTGATTGCCAGCACTTCTATCTTTCTTTGCATGTGCAGAAGACAGAATCTTTTGAAGATTGAATGTGTGACTGAAACATATAATTCGTTCAAAGTAATGTATGTTATGTATATGAAAGCTATGCATTCATTCTATTTGAATTAATACTGATCATTCTATAATAATATCCTTGTCAAAAGGACATGCAAAGCATGTTTTTTAAAGCCTAATGTTTCTAAAGGATGGGATGAATGCATTCTTTAATTGTAGGCACACAACTATGAAAAAATCTCCTGTCTAAATAAGAGGACCCTGATTTTACTGACCAAAACCTCCTGACCAGATTAGCTCTTGAGAGAATATTACTATGTAACAAAAATGTTTGGTAAACTGTCTTTCTGAAACTGAAAAGTCTGCGTTTCCCTTATTTCTGGTTTAGAAAACTTAGTTTTCAGTAAATCTGCTTTTTGAAATGGACCCCTACTAAATGTTGAGTGTTTTCTCCTCAGATGAAGGTAGAAGGTGTGTGAGCTGATGTGAAGTGAGCAGCATGGATCAATGTGAGGACAGAGAGGACAGAGTCCCTCCATCTAAAACAACTCTGTTTGGAGAACATGAGGACCAGAGCAAAGCTCAGAGGTCAGATCACCATCTCTAACTGTCCAGGACTCTTCTCCATGTCAGAGCTTAGCATGAACATCACCAAACCATCTTTATTCACAGAAAGCCAGAATCTGAAACCAACTCTGTGACCTTAAAGCAAAACAGATCAAAGGATGCTTTCTGTGATTTGATATCACACCATCCTACTGCTGCAAACAGGTGAGCTGTAAATGTTTTCACTGATCACTTACCTTTATTCCAACAGTGTGTGGTGGAGGCTAAATAGTATAAATAATCAAAGGATTGTATATTTGTGTTGATAGAAATGATCTTGTTAGATGACATTGGAACTAAACTTAAGTGTGAAAGACACAAAATCCGGTTTCACATCTGATAGGACAAAAAATCATGTCAGAGTGGTCATTGAAGGTCACTGAGGATGAACACACCGGACATGATTTTCAAGGGGGCTGGTGTGGCTCAAACTGAGGTAGACCCCGGATCTATTTTAGTCGGGCTACACAGTAATTCAGAGGCAATTTCATGTGTTTGGCAGACAGTGAGACTTAGTTACAAAGTAAAACACATGCGCTTTGTGGGAAACTAAAAAATAAATCTGTTAATTGAAACTGTCAGTTTTGGAGTCGCACAGAGCATGAACAGCAAGCAGGACAGACTCAAGCAAAAACAATGTATAAAACATTTAAAAAAGAATACTTTACCCATGATAGGAGTTCAGGAGGACAGAAAACAGATATAGTAAAATGTCTTTTAAAAAAAAACCCTAATAAATAATTGGGGCCAGACAGTGCAAGTAAGCACAACACTCTCCTCTATTAAAAAAAAAAGAAAAGCACAACTTCGATAAACTTTACAGATGTCTCTCTGAGAATCATCTCTCAGTCCCTCAGTCAGCATATAAACTGTCCCACTGCATTTATTGCTTTTTTTCCTTTTCATTAGAAATTCTTTTCCTCTTTTTAGTATGGGCATATGAACGTTCTCTCTCTGTTCTTGTTTGAGAAGACCCATTAAGCAGTGGTGTCAAAAGTACACACATTTGTTACTTAAGTAGAAGTATAGATACTGCAGTTTAAAAACACTCTGGGAAACATTGAAGTATCAACTTGACCTCTTTACTCAAGTAAAAGTGAAAAAGTATGTGCTCCAAAAACTACTTAAAGTATAAAAGTATAAAGTAACCTTTAAAAAAACAGCCAGATGATACTATATTATTGAAAGCTCAATTTTTCAAATATTATGAAAAATTCATTGAGATAGGGCCAAGGATGAGGGAGGTTGTTGGTCTCCATCTCCGAATACTCTCTAACCTGTGTCCAACCTTTCAGACATTTCAACATATTTTTCTGAATCCGACATTGTACCATGGTATAGACCAGGCATCCCCAAACTCGGTCCTCAAGGCCCCCTGTCCTGCAGGTTTTAGAGGTTTCTCTGCTCCAGCACAGCTGATTTTAATTGAAAGCTGATTAACAGGCTTTTGGTCTACTGCAGTCATTATAACCAGCTGTGCTGAAGCAGAGAAACCTCTAAAACCTGCAGGACAGGGGGCCTTGAGGACCGAGTTTGGGGATGCCTGGTATAGACAATTCGCGTTTGCAGTTTGAAGAACACCTTGCTTCTAATGATTTCCTTTAGCTAACCAATTAGTGTTTGAGTTATACGACTCATCCAATTACACTAGTTTTCACCAGATGTAGATGGAGCCAATGATCAGCATTGGATGCGCATGACGTGAAATAAATATTTATAAACATTATTATTTTTGATGATCTGTTATTTTGAACAGAATTTAACACTGAAATTAAATGAGGTATTTATGCATTCATGTCATACATTCAATTCAATTCAATTCAGTTTATTTATATAGCGCCAAATTCACAACACATGTCATCTCAAGGCACTTTACAGTTCAACATTGAATAAAAGAAAAATAGAAATTGCCAAAAATTGCATCCTGTGCTATTTCAGAGGAGTTGACACTTGTATGACTGTATTGCTGTATATCCATCAGTAGTTAAAAGACAAGGGTCAACAAATAAACATTTATAAACATTAAACCGAAGCCAAGTGTAATGAGTAACATTTCTTTTAAAAATGTAAGGAATAGAAATCACAGATACTTGTGTGAAAATGTAATGAGTAGATGTCAGAAATAGGAAGAAAAATAAGTAATGGAGTAAAGTATAGATTCCTAAAAAGTGTACTTAAGTACAGTAACGAAGTATTTGTACTTCGTTACTGGACACCTCTGAGTAAAGAAACCTAAAGATTGTACTTAAGTACAGTAATTAAGTATTTGTACTTCGTTATTTTACACCTCTGCCGTTAAGTGGTGCTTTGCTTTATAGTTACGCCAGTGGTTTTTACTTTTATCTTTATTTTAATAACTTTTAAAAATCTGTCCAAGTCAAATGTGGGAAATTGTTTTCATTTGTGTTGCACAGAGAAAGATGTGAAAAAAATTCTGCAAAGATCTGGCCACCTGCCTCTACACGCAGTCAGTATGACATAGAAAAGAATAGGATTACAAATTAAAAGGTGGCATGCAAGTGGTGTATTCAGGCCTTTAAGTGTTCTTCCATCCGTTCACATTAGTGAACCAGAGTTGGTGCTTCTGCAGACCTTAAAGGGGTCATAGAATGATCATATAGGGGTTTTGGTGCTGGTCCTTAAGGTCACTGAATAGGGTGTTTAGCAATGGTTGGGCTGAGAATTTCATATTTGTTCTATGCACCATAATGCAAATCTGGTTAAAAGGCTTAGAATGAAATGACAGGTGTTCTTCCTTTTATGGTATACTCATGAATATTTAGATCAGCTGTGCTCTGATAGGTTGGTTTTCAACGAGATAAGCTGCAGAGCAAAGATGCATCATAGCAACAAGCACTCACTCACTGAAACATCCAAATCGTTAATATGTTTACCAGATGTCCTCTTTTTCCCCGACATGTCGTATTTTGCATACCATAAAAAATCTCTGTGGGGGAATTTCAAAATCGTCCGGGATTTTGGTCCACTACAGTGCAGAATGTAGTCGAAACACACCGGGCACTCAAACCGAGCTGTCAGCTCCGGGGCTGATGATTGCTCATTTTCAATATAAAAACTGCCTGCTTTGTAATTCTTGTATAAGTAAACCCAACTGTAGGTTAAACAGCCAAACTAGTATCTTACTTCTTTGCGACCTTTATTCATGTTCTTGGGCCAGTGAACCAGTGGGCTGGTCTGTATGTAAATTTCAGGGCGTGACAAAAGTACAGACCAGAACCAAATAAGGCAACACCCCTGAGTTTAGGTCCACTTGGGGCCTCGTTTGGATTCACCTGTTTTATGGTGGAAGTTTTGAATTGTGAAAAAGGGAGGTGTCGATGGGGTTTGAACCTTTCTGTATGTCTCTTTCACCCAATGAATCATCGTTATTCATCTATGACAATGTAAACTTGGTTTTGCACTCTATGACCACTATAAGGTGACTGCACATGTAGGCAAGTTATGATGCCGATTTAAGTATGGTATTAGATGGAAACTAAACCATCCAAAATAAATCTATTCGAAAACATGATCTCTCACTGTTATTTGCAGATATCAGTGAAATCAGCAGCTTCCAAAGTAAATTTGTATCGCCTTACAGAAACCTGGCTGCAGCAAGAGGATTATGAAAGCATAAATTATACTCCTTCTAGTTTTTTTTAATGTTCACATGCACAGAAATGGTTGGCAAGAAGGAAAAATAGCAACTATCTTTCAATCTGACTTACTCCAAATACTAATATAGGACAGGGCCTTTATTTCACTCAGGTATATCTTGGTCCAGGCCATTATTTGAATGAGCCCAGAATTAGATTAGATTAAATAGAAATAGAGGCAGGCATCTATTCTCAGTCATGGTCAGAGAAACAGGACCACACTGGAAAACAGGCCAATCTCCAACATCTATAAACAAGGGTGTTGATGGAAGCAGCACAGCTGATGTTTCTCTCCAGGATGACGTCACAGCCAAACAGGAACAGACGAGGCAAAGCTACTCTGAGGAAAAGCAGAGAGAGCAGAAGGTTAGAGATTGAACTAACAGATTCTGCAGAATAGGAGAACAGAGAGAGAATGAAGCAGAATGATGAAATGGGGGTCCCTATGTCCTCCAAAAGTCTAAGCCTATAGCAGCATAACTATAGAGATAGCTCAGGATAACATGAGCCACTCTAACTATAAGCTTTATCAAAAAGGAAAGTTTTAAGCCTAGCCCTAAAAGTAGACAGGGTGTCTGCCTCACGGACTAAAACTGGTAGTTGGTTCCACAGGAGAGGAGCCTGATAACTAAAAGATCTGCCTCCCATTCTACTTTTAGAAATTCTAGGAACCACTAGTAAACCTGCAGATTGAGAGCGAAGTGCTCTGTTAGGAACATAAGGAACAATCAGATCTCTGATATCAGATGGAGCTTGGCCATTTAAGGCTTTATATGTGAGAAGGAGGATTTTAAATTCTATTCTTGATTTAACAGGAAGCCAATGAAGAGAAGCCAGGATAGGTGAGATATGATCTCTCTTTTTAATTTTCATTAGAACTCTGGCTGCAGCATTTTGGATCAGCTGAAGGCTTTTAACTACAGTTTGTGGACTTCCTGATAGTAAAGAATTACAATAGTCCAGCCTTGAAGTAACAAATGCATGGATTAGTTTCTCAGCATCACCCCTGGACAGGATATTTCAAATTTTTGCAATGTTCCTCAGATGAAAGAAGGAAATTCTAGAAACCTCTTTGATATGGGATTTAAATGACAGGTCCTGATCAAAAATAACACCAAGATTTTTTACTTTATTATCTGAAATCAGTTTAATCCCATCCAAATGAAGTGACTGGCTAATCAGCTTCTTTTTCAGAGACTCTGGTCCAAAGACTATAACTTCTGTTTTGTCTGCATTCAGAAGCAGAAAGTTAAGAGTCATCCAGGTTTTTATGTCTTCAAGACATGCCTGTAATCTATGCAATGGGTTAGCTTCATCTGGATTTATAGACAGATATAGCTGGGTATCATCAGCATAACAGTGGAAATTAATCCCATGCTGTCTAATAACTCTACCAATTGGGAGCATGTATAAAGTAAAGAGAATTGGTCCTAGCACTGATCCCTGTGGTACTCCACAGGTAACCTTTGAGCATGTTGAAGATCTATCATTAACATGAACAAACTGAATTCGATCAGATAGATAAGATTTAAACCAGTCTAGTGCTGTTCCTTTAATTCCAACAAAATATTCAAGTCTTTCTAAAAGAATATTATGGTCAACTGTATCAAATGCAGCACTAAGATCCAACAGGACGAGCACAGATACAAGTCCATTATCTGAGGCCATGAGAATATCATTAGTGACTTTCACCAGAGCTGTTTCAGTGCTATGATGAGCTCTAAAGCCAGACTGAAACTCTTCAAAAAGTTCATTATGGTGTAAGTGATCGCAAACTTGTTTGGCAACTACTTTCTCAAGAATTTTGGATAAGAAAGGAAGACTGGATATAGGTCTATAATTAACCAAGTCATCTGGGTCAAGAGACGGTTTCTTAAGCAGAGGTTTAATTACAGCAACTTTAAAAGCTTTAGGTACATATCCCTGTAACAGAGATAGATTAATCACATCTAAAATGGAGGAGGAGATCAAAGGGAATACCTCCTTAAATAACCTGGTTGGAACTGGATCTAACATACAAGTTGAAGGCTTAGATGAAGACAATAATTTTGCTAATTCAGAAAGTTCAACTGGATCAAAGCAGTCTAAACCCTGTTCAGATTCCATCACTACCTCAGATACAATCGCAAATAGAGGAGTGCTTATGATCTTATTTTTAATAAGATCAATCTTATTTATAAAGAATCCCATAAAATCATTGCTGCTAAGAGCAGGTGGAATGGACGGTTCAACAGAGCTATGGCTCTGGGTGAGTTTGGCAACTGTATTAAAAAGAAATCTAGGATTATTCTTATTCTCCTCTATTAATAAGGAGAAGTATGCTGCTCTTGCTTTACAAAGGGTCCTCTTATTCAGCAGTAAACCATTTTTCCAGACTAGGAAGGACTCCCGCAGGCCTGTGGAGCGATATTTTCTCTCCAGTTTCCTAGCATTTTGCTTCAAAGTACGAAGCTCTGCATTAAACCAACGAGCAAGCTTTCTATTTTTAACGGTTTTCATTTTCAGGAGCTGCGTTGTCTAAGGTAGTACGCAGAGAACTAGCAACCCCATCAACAAAATCATCAACCTGTGAAGGGGAATAAGCTATGCTTTTGCACTCTGCAGCACTGCTCAGTGACACAGAGGAGAGAGAAAGTGAAGCAGATTCTTTAAAATTTATAACTGCACTATCTTGTTTTAACTTTTTCCCCAATTGAAGTTATTTTGATTTTAATTAGATTATCATGATTTACTCCTTTGGGAATCTTTGCTAATTTATTAGATTTTGGTCGTGGGCAAGACACTGTCTGGATGGAGTAAAGAGTGGGTAACAGTAGAGAAGCTGCAGAGATGTGTGTTAAACTACAACTCTGCTTCCTGGTCTGCACCCTGGGTGGTCAGGGTTTTGGAGGACTAATAAATGTGGCCAGATTCCTAGAAAGAAGAGCTGCACCATCCAAAGTGGGACGGATGCTGTCTCTCCGAATCAGACCAGGCTTTCCCCAAAAGGATTGCCAATTATTAATGTAGCCCACGTTGTTTTCAGGACACCACCTAGACAACCAGCGGTGGAATGACGACATGCGGCTAAACATGTAATCACTGGTCAGATCAGGGAGGGGACCAGAGAAAATTACGGAGTCCGACATTTTTTTGGCAAACTTACACACCGAAGCAACACTAATTTTAGTGACCTCCGATCGGCGTAACCGGGTGTCATTACCACCAGCGTGAATAACAATCTTACTGTATTTAACCTTATCCTTAGCCAGTAGTTTCAGGTAGGATTTGATGTCGCCCGTTCTGGCCCCCGGCAAACATTTGACATCTGCCAATCACCAGAGTGGGCTTCTCAGTGGGTGTGTCACTGAGTGGGGAAAACCGGTTAGAAACGTGAACGGGTTGGTGGTGACCAGTGGGCAGAGATCCACGACTACGCTTTCTGCGTACAGTTACCCAATCGCCTGGCTGCTCAGGCACTTTTGGAGGACAGCTACGTGGGGGGCCTACTTTAACTCCTGGATGTTCAACAGCCTGAAGCCTGGATTCTAACTCTGACACCCTCGCCTCCAAAGCTACAAAAATACTACACGTATTACACATCCCATTAGCACTAAAGGAGGCAGAGGAATAACTGAACATCTGACACAGAGAGCAGGAGAGAGGAGAGGAAGAAGGAAGAGTTGGAAAAGAGTCAAGCGAGGGAGAGAGAGAAGCCATAGCAATGCTAAGCTAGCGCTAGCCTATGCTAGCTACTCCTTGCTATCAGAAATAAAACCGTGTGAAACTGACAAGTGCTCAGTAGAAAAGTGCAGCAGAAGGTGCTATGTTTTAAAGTAGTCAGTTAGAGTTACTCAGATACATAGACATCACAGAGAAAATAACTTAACTTCAGATGGAGTTCCTTTGGACAGCTGCAACAGCTGCACACTCAGTCAATCCAAACAGGAAGTGAACAGCATCTAATATATCTAATCTACCTTTTGTTATCTGGAAATCTTGAGAAAATAGCTGCTAAACAATTGTGTGTTTAAAGAGTTTCAATCAGGTTTTAGAGCTAATCATGGCACTGGAACAGCTCTGGTGAATGTCACTAAAGATATTTGGCCCTGTTGGACAGGGCCGCCTGTGGAGCTAGCTAACAGTTACCTTTCGTTTCTCTTCTTCCTTTTCTATGTCTGCTTGTGTCTCACTGAACCCCAGTCGGTCTTGGCAGATGGCTGCTCACACCAAGCCTGGTTCTGTGTGAACTTTCTTCCGGTTAAAAGCCAGTTTTCCAGTCCACTGTTGCTACAAGCATGCTTAGTGTGAAGGATTGATTGCTGAAGAGTCAATGAGTCTATCTAATAAACTGGTTTTCCTTAGATAGAAAACTTTGAACAAGTCTGACTGGATGATCTGGTTGAATTGTCTGTTTAAAGTGCTTTGAGATTACATGTTAATCGAATTGAATTAAAATGCAACTTCATTGTTTAACGTTAAATACAATATTATACTTAGATTTGCGGCCATTTCATTTTGATTTCACTTTTTTTTCTACAGGATGCAACAGAACCTCAAACCAGAAACAGAACCCAGCTGTGTGTCATTAAAGAGCGACAGGTCAAAGGGTCTTGGTATTTCCTTTAAATCAGACCAAACTTCATCTGCACAGAGGTGAGCTCTGTCTAAATGTTTTAAATGTATGAAAATACAATTAAAACGTTTGAAATGTTTTGATAACACAGTTTTCTAAGTTTTTATTATGAAACTATTTGTTTTTTTCTGGATGTATTTTCACTAATTTAGTGTCCAGTGAGTTCAGGGTAAAGGGGTTTGCTTATCAGTTTGAGACTTGAACTAGAAAATTACCAAAAAAGAACATAAGTAAACTTTTTTCTCTTTATCGACAGTTCTGACTCTGATCCAAAGTAATAAGGTATAGCAGGATATGAAATCGTAAGGCATCTAATAATGTTCTACATCAACATATTTTGATGACTGCTAAGTTCTTATTCATAAACCCAAGTTTAACCCTTTATTATAAGTATTATTATTAATCCATCATTAATATACATTTAGCATTGAAAAAATAAATATTTGGATCCACTTCAGTCTAGAGCCACTGTGGGACACTTTAGAGTTTTGGGCTTCACTGTTTAACTTTAAATATATTATTAGACTAAAAGTGAATTCAGGGTTTTTTCTTCAGGATCCAACAGACTTTCAGACCAGAACCAGAACCCAGCTGTATGTCCTTAAGGAGCAACAGGTCAAAGGGTCTTGGTATTTCTTTTAAATCAGACCAACCTTCATCTGCACAGAGGTGAGCTCTTTCTAAATGTTTTAATTGTATGAGACTGAATGACGCATTTTGAAATGTTTCCAAATATTTTAATTTATAATTATGAAACAATTGTTTGTTTGTTTTTTTTGGGATGCTTGTCCACTAATCCAGTGTCAAATGAGTTCAGGGTAAACACTGTTGGTGATATTTCTAAGGGGTTATTTTGCTTGACACATGGACATTCAACTCAGAAAGTGAGAAACCCAATACAGCAGGGCTGACCCTAACCAATTTGGTGCCCTAGGAAAAATTTTGGGTGGTGCCCCTTGCATCACAATAAATTCCACTGCCAGTTTATATGAAATCATACAAAACTGAATTGGCTTGTCTTTGACTTTTTCCTCTTATGTTTTGAGGCACAAAAAAAAACCTACTGGAAAAAAAATGAAACCAATGAAATAGGATAAATCAACATTAGCTAAAATTATACAAAATTGTATTTTTAACTGCCTTTGCAAAGTGCAATATTGAACTATCTACAAAATAAAACACTGGAAACAAGTAACACGATAAATTCCAAATATAATACAAATAAAACCCCGCACAAAGTGTTTTGGCCTAAAGGTACTACAGAAACCAGCATTGGCACGACAAATAGAAAAAAATAAGTGCAGAATTTCAATTGAGTGTAATGTGTATGTATAAATAAATATGTTACAAAAACTTTATCTGAGATCAATTTAATCCCAACTAAATTAGGTTAGTGAATAATCAGCTTCTTTTTCAAAGACTCTGCTCCAAATACACTCACCGGCCACTTTATTAGGTACCCCATGCTAGTAACGGGTTGGACCCCCTTTTGCCTTCAGAACTGCCTCAATTCTTCGTGGCATAGATTCAACAAGATGCTAGAAGCATTCTTCAGGGAGTTTGGTCCATATTGACATAATGGCATCACACAGTTGCCGCAGATTTGTCGGCTGCACATCCATGATGTGAATCTCCCGTTCCACCACATCCCAAAGATGCTCTATTGGATTGAGATCTGGTGACTGTGGAGGCCATTTGAGTACAGTGAACTCATTGTCATGTTCAAGAAACCAGTCTGAGATGATTCCAGCTTTATGACATGGCGCATTATCCTGCTGAAAGTAGCCATCAGAAGTTGGGTACATTGTGGTCATAAACGGATGGACATGGTCAGCAACAATACTCAGGTAGGCTGTGGCGTTGCAACGATGCTCAATTGGTACCAAGGGGCCCAAAGAGTGCCAAGAAAATATTCCCCACACCATGACACCACCACCACCAGCCTGAACCGTTGATACAAGGCAGGATGGATCCATGCTTTCATGTTGTAGATGCCAAATTCTGACCCTACCATCCGAATGTCGCAGCAGAAATCGAGACTCATCAGACCAGGCAACGTTTTTCCAATCTTCTATTGTCCAATTTGGATGAGCTTGTGCAAATTGTAGCCTCAGTTTCCTGTTCTTAGCTGAAATGAGTGGCACCCGGTGTGGTCTTCTGCTGCTGTAGCCCATCTGCCTCAAAGTTCAACGTACTGTGTGTTCAGAGATGCTCTTCTGCCCACCTTGGTTGTAACGGGTGGTTATTTGAGTCACTGTTGCCCTTCTATCAGCTCGAACCAGTCTGGCCATTCTCCTCTGACCTCTGGCATCAACAAGGCATTTCCGCCCACAGAACTGTCGCTCACTGGATGTTTTTTCTTTTTCGGACCATTCTCTGTAAACCCTAGAGATGGTTGTGCGTGAAAATCCCAGTAGATCAGCAGTTTCTGAAATACTCAGACCAGCCCTTCTGGCACCAACAATCATGCCACGTTCAAAGTCACTTAAATCACCTTTCTTCCCCATACTGATGCTCGGTTTGAACTGCAGGAGATTGTCTTGACCATGTCTACATGCCTAAATGCACTGAGTTGCCGCCATGTGATGGCTGCTTAAAAATTAAGTGTTAACGAGCAGCTGGACAGGTGTACCTAATAAAGTGGCCGGTGAGTGTATTATATTAGTAGAAAGTTAAAGAGTCATCCAGTTTTTTATGTCTCCGAGACATGCCTGTAGTCTATGAAAACGATTAGTTTTATCTGACAGACATAGCTGAGTATCGTCGGCATACCAATGGAAATGACATGATCCTTAACCAACCTCTTAAGAAAGCGACAACTGCGGACAAAGGTGAAGATTTAAGAGTTTTATTTCCTGCATTAATAGAGGAGTGCACTGTCGACTTAGAAATTAACAGAGAACACAGAGAGAGTCTGTGTTTGGATCCTTTGCCGGTGGATGGTCTGGTGTTGGACTGAGGGTGGACAGGCAGGCTGGTAGGTCACGTACGGAGTCACCGGAGAGGAGACAGTTCCGCAGCAGTGAGGAGATGACGGGAATGGGCCTGATCCGTGTGAGCGTCCGTTGTTGTTCTGTAGAGGACAAGAGCAATGAGAAGTTAATAGGAGACTCTGGGAGCTTAGATTGCTAACAGAGCTTGACCCGTTTTACCACTGAGAGAGCAGAACCAACTGGCAGCTTGCTCCAGGAAACTGCTCCAATAAAAAGGCCCCTACTGATTGTCATTAACGAGTAACAGCTGGAATCCATCAAGCCTGCTACCCTGTAAATAAACCTAACACAAAGACCTAACAGTATCCCCCCTTCAATGGTTGCCACCTGGCGGATGACTTGAAACAGAGGCCGTCAAACACTCAAAGTCAGTGTTGAGGGAGGGATTCAAAATGAAGGAGCACGGAACCCAGGAATGCTCCTCAGTACCATATCCCTCCCAGTCCTCCAAGTACTGTCTACCCCGCACCACAAGGCCGCACAACCACAATACGCCTAACTGTGTGGGCTGGGTGACCATCGATGATACGGGCGGGGGAGGTAGATTGGGAAGACACAGGGGACTAGAGAGGTAGGGCTTGTTCAGGGAAATGTTGAACACAAGATGCACTCGGAGGTTGGAAGGCAACTTGTGGCGAACCCCTGATGGACTGAGTACTGACTCAATGGTGAATTGGCCTAGTAAACGGGGGGATAATTTACGGGTGAATGACTTAAATAGAATGTGTTTTGAAGACAATCAAACTCTTTGACCAGGCATGTAGATCGGAGCAGGAACTCTCTTGCAATCAGCGAGTCCGTTTGGGCATCTGTAATCCCCCCTCTGAGTTTTTGTTGGTCTTATTTCCATTTTTGTGTTCTAGTTATTTTCTATTGTATTTGAGTTCTTAGATATTTTGTTGTTTGCCCTCTTGTGTCAGTCTCCTTTTCCCTAGCTCCTTTCTTTCCTCTCTTCACACCTGCTCCCAATCTCTAATTAGCCTGGTCTTTGTTTCTCCCATACATTCTCCTCCTGTTCAGTCACTCTTTCCTCCCTTGTTGTGAGTATTCCTGGTTTTCATACATTTTGGATTTTTGTGGATTTTTGCTTCTGTTGAACCCTTCTGGATAATAAATCTGCAAGTAGCATCTTTCAGATTCCACCTGCCTTTGGGTCCTCCTTCAAACCTCCACCCCACTGTGACAGTGCAAACCAGTCAAAAATGGACCCAGCAGACCTGGACACAGTTTTGGGCACCCAACAACAGCTTAACAAACAGGAGAAGCAATTGGCTTTTTTTAAAAGAAGAGATTATGGTCATGTTATCATTTACAAAACAACTCAACTTCCTTGTGGAAAAAATCCCAAGATTTCAAAGGTTCTCTGGCCTGCATGTTACTAACCATACTCCTCCTAGCCACTCCACCACTCAACCGGATTAGTTTTCCCTCTCCAGGTTTAGCCCTAGTGTCCCTTCTCTAGCCTCTGCCCCCTCTAGTGTCCCCTCTCTAGTCTTAGTCACCTCTAGTGTCCCCTCATGAATCTCATGCTCCTCTGGTGTCCCCTCTCCAGTCTCGGATCCCTCTGGTTTCCTTGGTGTTCCCTCCCCAGAGACCCCTGAGCCCGCTCTGTACCGTCCAGAGACCCCTGAGCCTGCTCTGTGCCGTTTAGAAACCCCTGCGCCCACTCTGTGTCGTCCAGAGACCCCTGAACTGCTGATGAACTGGTACCTGATATAGAGCTCAGTGACAGTTTGTCCCCAAAGCCCCTCAGCGGGCCCTCCTCGCCTCCAAGACCCATCAGCAGGCACTACTTGCTGATTCGTCTTGGGTCCCAAGCATTTGTGTGCTGCAGTCGGCAGGACCCAAGGTTTGTGTGCCACTGTCGGCGGCACTCAAGGTTCGAGTGCCAAAGTCGGCATCTCTGCAGAGATGCCAGCCCCCAGAGGTCCTCCTTCCTCTTCGTCCTCACGACTGTCGTCCAGAGGTCATCCTTTGTCGTCGGCCTCACAGCCGGCCTCCACAGACTCTGCCTCATCTCCGGCCTCACGGTCGGCCTTCAGAGACTTTTGTTTGGCCTCCGGCCTCATGGAGACTCTGTGAGACTCTGCTTGTCCTTGCCCACCTTTGGTGGGTTGTTTTTTGTTTGGACCCAGTTTTTGTTTTTTGCCCTCCTTCCTGTTTCCCCTGTGCCCACCCTGGGTGGGTTGCTTTGTGTTTTGGACTTTGTTTTTGTTTTTTGTGCCCTCCCTCCTGGTAACACCTCCAACCATCATGAGTGGGTTGTTTTTGAAAACCTGGAATCCACCCTTAAGTTCAATTCAATTCAATTCAGTTTATTTATATAGCGCCAAATTCACAACACATGTCATCTCAAGGCACTTTACAGTTCAACCAGATCATACAGTCAAATTGATACAAAGTTTTCTGTCTAAGGAAAACCAGTTGATTGCATTGACTCATTGACTCAAATACAATCCCTCACACTAAGCATGCTTGTAGCGACAGTGGAGAGGAAAAACTCCCTTTTAACAGGAAGAAACCTCCAGCAGAACCAGGCTCAGTGTGAGCGGCCATCTGCCGAGGCCGACTGGGGTTCAAGGACACGGAAGCAGAGACACAAAAAGCAGCTGTAAAAGGCAGCCCCGTCCAGGAAACACACAGCCAGGCAGACGAGCTCCGAGCCAGCTCCCATTC